ATATTAGTAATATATGGGGGAGGCCTATGTTCGGCAGTGGAGTTTAATTGGCTGTAACGGTAATATTACAGTGGATTGAAATATTTTTCATTGCACAAAATAACTTACTTTTCTATTTACATAATATTTTATCCTTAGAATAAATATTGACACATATATACCTATACTTTTTCGACTTTGATTTCTGATTGACTGACAAAAGATAATTAGACACACATAACATGTGATACATCATACCATGCCACAAAAACTTCTTTTGTGTATATTGTGTGACTTTATTTTATCTATTATTTAAATTAGATTTCACTAATAACATAAAACTTCAATACTTTAACATTTAACACATTAGTAAGACCTGTGTTTATCATTTGTTAAAGGTTAATTCAGTATAAGTTATAGATTTTACAAAATTCTAGGAGGAAAAAATAAACTTTTATATTACTCACATGGACTTTTACTCGTCAGTTTGCATTTTCGAATGTCATTGGCAAATTATATACATAAATGTGATATAGGTATTTAATATTTGACTTACGTGCATGATATAACCCTTAGGTTAAACATTTTTTGCATCAATTAGACATTAACATACTAATCCACTTGTAAGCAGTAAAACTACGTGAATTTTCATTTTTAAACTTTTACTTTAACACGAACACAGTTTACATCAATTTAAACAAACAAGTTTATGCCATATTATATTTTTACAGTCAATGCCAGTCAATGGAGTCAATGCAAAGAACTATGCCTGTAAGTTGGTAAATAGCAGGAAAGAATGCAGTGTCATCTTGTGTCAAAATATAAAATAATTCAATCAATATAATATATCATTTATCAATTTAATATAACGAAAGATTAAAATTATAGCTATAGAAGGTATGAATTTATTAATAATATGAAGGGATATTTATTATTACTTTTAAAAACTTAAAATAATTAAGTACTTAATCATGTATAGATCGTTATGTGTGCCTGGAGTCTGTGGATCGTTTTCTTTCGTATTATTTCTAAAAAAATCGTACCATATCCCATATTATTCAACAAAAATAAAAATATTAAGTAATACATTAATAAAGAAAATATATAATTTTCGTTTCCGCAGTATAGTAATATTGTTGGAATAAAATCGAGAGTAACAAAAATAATATATATTTCTCATAAAAGTTTAAATCTAGATAATATGTAAGTAGATAGATTGTATAGTGCAGTGATTAGCTTTCCATGAGATAATATTATACCTACCTCATGAGAAATCCACACAGATAAAAGTTGGCGCACATCAGCAGTTGTCTCGGCCAGTAATTGTCTTCGCACACTGCGTTGAAACCTGACTCCACAATTGCAACATACACTTCTATTTTCATTGTATGCTGATCTAGCAGATTCCATTTTCTTAAAATCGCATATAAATACAAAAAAACAGTAGCGTAACGAACGTCAATGCCGTTAAGATTAAAGACGTAGGTAATACCCCGCCGCCCCGCCCCGCCGTACCCGGCCGCCGGCCGCTGGGAATTACCGGAAGTCAATGATAAAATAACGTTTTGGTTCACAGTCATTTAGAACTATGTTATAACGTGATATTAGCTAAAATTTTTAGAAATTAAACATAAAGTTCTTAGTGGTATCTTTTTTTAAGTCAGCTTTGTGAAAAAATAGTTTTCTTTTTATACAAGCTGCAAAATGACTAATTAGGTACACGCATTTTACCCATATTACACTAATCAGAACACGAATATCAAAACAACTAATTTTTTTTCGTATTTCTTGATTCCGTTTACATTTTCGAAAAATCTGTAGGCCATTTACTATTATAATTTGGTGTCTTTTTTTTGATGTAATACCATTAGTGGACGTTAATATTTTTAGTGGGCCCAAAAATGATTGTCCCCTTTAACAAAATAAATAGACATAATTCATACATACATATACATACATAAACACTCACGCCTGTCACCTAGAGGGGTAGGCAGAGACTACAGACTTCCATTAGGCACGATCCTGACACACCTCTCTCGCCTCCTTCACATTCATATAATAATTTGGCCCGTTTTCAATAAATCGCTAATTTGGCCGATAAATTTTCGCCTAGGACGTCCCTTTCCGACTCTGCCATTCACTTCTGCAACATAAATTTTCTTTGTCACTCTTTCAACATTTATTCTTTCCACATGACCAAACCACCGAGGTATTCCTTTCTTAATCCTGTTTTGTTATTATACCTATTATTGCTAATCAGAAGTATGTTCCTATAATACTTTTGAACTTGAAACTCTCAACAAACTTGTGACTATCACTCACAAACTCGATAATCCCAAACCTTTTTTGAAAGATTTTCTTCCTTTAGTCATTCAGTAATTTTCAAACCGTCATCGCGCCACAACAGAGTAGACAAACGACGCACACAAATATGTACATCCCTAGATCTCTAGCTGCCCCTTTTATGTAGATTCCTGATACAACACAATGTTACAGTGTGGCTATATGTAGTAAAAACTAGTTACCTATATCTAGCTGCCCCTTTTATGTAGATTCCTGATACAACACAATGTTACAGTGTGGCTATATGTAGTAAAAACTAGTTACCTATATCTAGCTGCCCCTTTTATGTAGATTCTTGACACAGCACAATGTTACAGTGTGGTTATATGTAGTAAAAACTAGTTACCTATATCTAGCTGCCCCTTTTATGTAGATTCCTGACACAGCACAATGTTACAGTGTAGTTATATGTAGTAAAAACTAGTTAACTATATCTAGCTGCCCCTTTTTTGTAGATTCTTGACACAGCACAATGTTACAGTGTGGTTATATGTAGTAAAAACTAGTTAACTATATCTAGCTGCCCCTTTTTTGTAGATTCTTGACACAGCACAATGTTACAGTGTGGTTATATGTAGTAAAAACTAGTTACCTATATCTAGCTCCCCCTTTTATGTAGATCCCTGACACAACACAATATTACAGTGTGGTTATATGTAGTAAAAACTAGTTACCTATATCTAGCTGCCCCTTTTATGTAGATTCCTGACACAGCACAATGTTGCAGTGTGGTTATATGTAGTAAAAACTAGTTACATATATCTAGCTGCCCATTTTATGTAGATTCCTGACACAGCACAATGTTACAGTGTAGTTATATGTAGTAAAAACTAGTTACCTATATCTAGCTGCCCCTTTTATGTAGATTCCTGACACAGCACAATGTTGCAGTGTAGTTATATGTAGTAAAAACTAGTTACCTATATCTAGCTGTCCCTTTTGTGCAGATTCCTGACACAGCACAATGTTACAGTGTGGTTATATGTAGTAAAAACTAGTTACCTATATCTAGCTCCCCCTTTTATGTAGATTCCTGACACAGCACAATGTTGCAGTGTAGTTATATGTAGTAAAAACTAGTGACCTATATCTAGATGCCCCTTTTATGTGGATTCCTGACACAGCACAATGTTACAGTGTAGTTATATGCAGTAAAAACTAGTTACCTATATCTAGCTGCCCCTTTTATGTAGATTCCTGTCACAGCACAATGTTGCAGTGTAGTTATATGTAGTAAACACTAGTTACCTATATCTAGCTGCCCCTTTTGTGTAGATTGCTGACACAGTATAATGTTACAGTGTTATGTAGTAAAAACTAGTTACCTATATCTAGCTGCCCCTTTTGTGTAGATTCCTGACAAAGCACAATGTTACAGTGTAGTTATATGTAGTAAAAACAGTGTCAAACAATTACTTATAACCACACCGCAACAATGTTGCAGTGTGGTTATAAGTAATAAAAACTACTTACCTACTCGTATATCCGATTAAAGAACTTCACCTATATTTTAGATGTCTTCCATTTAAATAATTAATTAAAACTAACTTGTAATTAAGGTTATAGTATTACGTGTGTTTGTACTAGTATGTATGGTGTACCTAATCTATACAAATAAATAAATATGAAGCGTCTGTTTCTAATGTCAAAATAACATAAAATGCATGGGAAACTATATATTATGGTACTTATATAAAAAAAAATTGTCTAGTTCTTTGTTCCGACTAATTTCCGAAAAGTTGGATCGATTTTGATAAGATTTTCATTGGCAGATAGCTGATATTATAAGGAATAACTTAGACTACTTTTGTTTTAAAAAAGAATTAGGTTTCCGCGCATAAAACATTAAGACCCATCAAATACAATCTTAATTCCACGGGGCGAAGTCGCGGGGAACGTCTAGCACATTATATGATTTTTGTGCTTATAGTTTGATATAATAAGATCATGACAGGTACCTAATATTATAAAAATGTTTAGGTAATTAGTATTACCTAAACATTTTCATGAAATTAAGTAGGTACAGTTACATATTATTTCATAATGCGTCAAGTCACTGCAACAAATATCTTTTATTTATATCATGGACGTATAAAAAATTTTTTCGTTTTCCTTTCTTGTTTCGCTTTTATGAACCTATAAAACCGTTGCATTTTACTCGTGAAATGACTAACTTTTGGCGAATGATTCTCCATCATTATGGTGGATCAATAGCTTGGTTATTCTTGCTTTTTAACCATATCGATCAAGTCAAAACTATCCAGAATCACGTTGAAAAATTAATTCACGTTGAAAAACTAAGTCAAGAACATACATTGTGCACATTCCTAACACCTCATGTTTTAGGAATGTGTACAATGCATGTTACATGCATTGTAACCTGCATTGTATACATTCTCATGACATGAACATATTACAAAACCGTTAGGTACTAATAACTAACATTTTGTATGCATGTATAAATTTATTCTAATACAATTTGTAACTAGTTTTTATTTAATAAATATGAATTGTTAATTTATTTTTTAATAACAAACAGCTAGAAATTCTGGCAATATTGCTTGAAAAAAGAAATAATTATACTGTACTTATCTTTATTTGTAATAATTTTAAATAACAAAGGTTTATGTATGACAATATTGTAATTTAATTTCAAAAACTAAAATAAATCCGTTTCATTATCCTTCCATGTGTTTATTTTTAGTAAGTTTCCGCCTTATTTCATCAGTTTCGAGTAGCTTACGTCTTAAATTCAACATTATAGCTTTATTTCTTTTCTGGAACAAACATTAATAAAATATGACAATGCCTTGGCCTATGCTTCAGCAGCCTCCAACTCCTAGACTGCCGCAGGCAGACGATATGATGATGATGATGATGATAATGATAATGATTATTGTTATTTTGTATTTCAATTCATTCAGAAATCAAGTCTTTGTTTTTGAATTCCCTTCTCAACAGAACAATTATAAAAGATGCTTGTCATATAAATTGTAATAAAGTACGGGCCATTTTTGATATTAAGTAAAATAAAAAATAAAAATTCCCACTGATGCCTACATAATTGCAATCTGACCGTTCGATCAAAGACTGTCGATTACGACGAGCATAATATAATATCATCAGATCATCCTTCTTTTACTTATGGCTTTTTCATGAATAGGTTCGTAATGGCATGACATAACCATTAAAGTATAATGTACTCCACGTAATGGGTTCATACTTCAATAGACATAATTTGAAACATTTGCCTCTTCGCGACGCTGAGCTAACTAGTATTGAGTATTAACTCGTTCTGGTTGTGCACGATGACGCCGTAAGAGTATTCATTACACTTTTCATAAGGTAAAAAATGATAAGAAAATCTGAAGTGATACAAAAATTACTCTTTCGTAATTAACAATCTCTTATATTAAGTCAACACTAGTAACAGCTAACAGCGCTACTATTCAAGTCGATTGATGGGTACTTTAATCGTACCTGCATATAGAACACATACTTTACAAACCTTTAGCACATTGCATTTACTTTCTATTGTTTTGCATTCCTCTTCCACAGCTATGAACTTGTGCAGTTGTTGCTCATAATTTTCAAGTTCTTTTTTCTTTAAATCATCATTTTCAGCTTCTTTAGCTTTTAACCGTTCAAGATGAATTTGCTGTTCTAATTAATATAACAAAAAAACTTTTCTTGAAATATCTTTATGGTTACATACAATTTTATCTAGTTTTATAGAAATAATACAAGTTTATATGGATTTTATCGCGTATGTTAACTTTTTATACCCCCCCCCCCCTATATGGGCGCTGTAAAGCGCTCGCAACGTCGGGTATATAAAAAAACTTAAATATAAAAGCTAGTATTATTTAAAAGTGTAGTGTTCGCGTAAATATAAGAAATCATTAATTTAATATACTGTTTACGTAGCTCAGGGACTCGCGTCGGTCTTAAATTTCACAGAACGCGAGAGGACCGGGGTCGATCCCCGTTGGCACTAATGAAATTGTTAATTGCAATTGTAAGTGGTAATTCACAATATCGTTAGCGGTAAAGGTGAACATCTTGACGAAACCTGCATACCCAAGAAAGAAAATGTTTCGAAAGCATGTGAAAGCCGAAAACGCATTGGACGGGGCAGTGGCAAAATTACTCCATAACCGTATCAGAAATCTAAAAAAGTCAGTGTTCAACAATGAGACGAGTATTATAGTGTTATCAGTGATTTTTACATAATTTCTATTATGAATTGTTATAAATATTGTATAATTATCATTTTGGTTTTATAATTTTTTTAAATTATCAAATATTAATTAGATTATTATATAGTCATTGTATTGTCATAATAATGATCATATATAATTTTCTCAGTTTATTTTAAATTTAGAATTTGAGATATTTACAAAGAGTATTATATAAGTATTTTCATTTTCTAAACATTTGTAATTAATTCACTTATCAGTAATATTATTTATAACAGCTTTTAACTTATTTTCATATTATAAAAGTATTTGGATTGTGTAATTGTTACACATTCAAAATGTTGCTAGGTTCAGTTTTGATAGTTAGTAGGGATATGCTACCACCATTGTAACATTATTTAAACGATTGCAATAATTATTGACTGGCTATTCGAGTTGTGAACTAGTAAAGCAAACATACCATCTTACATGGTAGAGCCATGCTGCAGTTATATTAGTAGTATAGTTATAGCACGAATGGGTCGCCTCGACCGGGGAAGGACCACGCTCTCACGGAATACCAGCGTCAAATAGTAGTTTAATGCCGCTGTTTCGTATGGTGAGTGTAGAGAACCGGAGACCCTTTTTACTGGAAACGAGGCATTCCACCTAAGTCCTCACGGATGACAACGCATCTGCATTTTGATTCGTAATCGAGGATAGATGTAGATGTCTATGGGCCACAGCAACCACTTACCATCAGGTGGGCTGTGTGCTCGTTTGTCATCTTATCCTATAAAAAAACAAGTAATCAAGCGTATTATTACTCTTGACTTTTTACCTTTAGCAAAAAGAGCTTGGAAGCCTTCCGTGTGACCTCTGAGATTTTCAATTTGCTGTTGCACTTTGCATTTCTCAGATGCATTACATATTTCGATCATTGCTATCTGGTATTTCATATCAGATATATTTTTAGTAAGGGCCTAAAAATGAGTAGAGGCATAAAAATAAAATAACATCCCATTCTAAGTTTTCCGTAGTGAAAGTACCGGGGTCATTGGTGTGTCTAGGTTATTTTCCATAGTAGGATCTGGCCGATGAAGCTCAATCTACGCAATAAAAGAAATTTCAATTCAACATTTCTAGTGTAAAAAAATATTTAAGCCATCGATTTTAGAAATTTTTCTTTAGATAAAAAGGTTTTGCGAAAAAGGCTATTTTGCTTAATGCATTATTAATTATTAATCGACAGTAGCCTAATGGCAGGGCGCAGACAGCGAACTCAAAAAGGTCGTGGGTTCGAATCCGCCATTCGACTACTGGCGTGAACCACTCTTAACACTGCTATATTTGCTGTATAAATTTCAGGGATGTTCAATGCATAGTTTTACGAGAATATTTACAGAGAACCCACTGTACAGCGATATTTTAGCGAATGAGATGTTTCGCACCTATTTTATAGATAATAATCAATAACATTTTAGAGTTAAAAATTGTATCACAGGCAGTGCAACAAGTAACAGATAGATAAGAGCGTTAATGACGGTGCTCAAGGAACAATAGATAAGAAGAAAGGTTCGAGAACAATGGAAACGCTAATGAGGGTGCAGGCCCACCGGATATCAATTAGATATTAGTTAATTGATCTGCACATCTCCGGAACCGTGCATTCTACGCAAAAATGGACCGCAGATTCGTGATCAGAGCATGCCAAAACCTTTTCTTTTGGCTCGTAATTTGGTTCTCTTTACATAATACTGGCTATCTTGTAATCGTACGGTGTTAAGGGGATGCACCCAGTAACGGCGGTAATATGTTTTCTTATTGGCTAGATACAGCAACAATGCAAAAAACCAATCAACTCAATGATTGTCATCTCTCAACTGAGCCATGTTAATCCGAACGGGAAAAAACGTATGTGTGTGATGTATGTACGGAATCCCGAATCAGAATCCCGAAACGGAATTCCGTATGTATGTAAAGTAAAGTAAAGTTACAGCCTATATACGTCCCACTGCTGGGCACAGGCCTCCCCTCATTTCTGAGAGGGTTTCCTCTCAGAAACCCGTATGTATGTGACCGGCCTTATATGTGAATGGCAGCAGTGGGCCGCAACTTTACTTTACTTTTTTCTTTAACTAGGAAACCGAGTTTGCCAGACCTCGTAGTTCAATCACTTACCTCTAATTGTTCTATTAGTAAATCTTTTTCATTCGTTAGTGTGCTAATCTCTTGCATAAGACTTCGTTCCGTGTGGCGTAAATCATTTTCTAGTTTCTCGTTAAATAATTTACGTTTTAATGCTGTAATTGCAAAACCTTATTGATTGCAGCACTTGTATAAAATTAAATTGTTTTAATAATAACAATAAGAAACAATTCATACATTAGTTACAGCTTATCACAAGTCTACTGCATAACATAGGCCGCCCCAATTGCAATCAATGGGTGCGTATATAGTTGTTGTTGTATATCGCTACCAAGCTATTTCTAATTTGTTTTCTGTTGTTAATTGTAACATACATGATTGTAAGCTCTTATTTAAAAAAATATAGTGCCGTTGGTTCCTTGCTGGTTCTTCCCAGAACAGAGATTTTCTTTCCGAACCAGTGGTAATGAAAAAAAGTGACTTTCAATAACCACTCGTGTACAAACCGCGCGAGTGGTTCTCGCCCCACCTGTCCGCGTATTAAATGTCACTTTCTTTATCACGATCGCGCGAGACACTCAACAAAAACGATTACTTCTGAAATACTATTATAGCTACATTCAAATAAAAAATATTCACGAAAAGCTCAAAAAATCAAAATTTCATTTTGTGGAAACAAAATTACTCAAATTAAAAATTACTAATGTCCCCATAAAAAATTTAAATAAATTAAAATTTTTAAAATAAACGGGCAAATTTGGCGTGTTTCACAGTACAAACCTGATTTAAGTTGTAATTTTATCGAGTCTACTAAGTGATTAGACATTTACACAACAACAACTACGATTACTTTAACAGAAATAATAACACTGTGCCTCTGAGTAAATTTGTGTATTATATACTTAAAGTATTAAAACTTGTGTAATAGTTTATTTATTTTACTTTAAGATCTACAAATACAATGGATTTGATATTCATTTAACACTGTATATGAATTTGCCGCTACAAAGCCTAATTTTATTTACTAAAAAAATATTGGCTTGGATGCTTGTCTTTTAAGCTATGTCTTCGTTTCATTTGGGACCTACGAGCATAGTTTTCTAAGCTCGAAGTTCGGGACACAAATTAATAAGAAGTGCTAGCGATTCGAGATCTTCGTTTTATAGATTTTTTTCTTCTCAATGTGCTGATGCGCCACATTGCAAAGTTTTCGGGAGATTCTGATGATAACTCAACCCAGCGGACATTCGACGCCACACACGGTAAGTTAAAGTCATCAGTTAAACTGATATCAGTTCAAACCACAGAAATCGTAATAATATATAGACAATAGAAATTGAATTAGCGCTCGATTACTTCCAAAACCGATGTCGCCACGTCTTACCGTATTATAAACATACGCAATGCACAATGATATCTAATATTTCACATTACATTGCTTGGCGAGTTTGTTAACGTCTTGTGTGTCGCGTATTACGGTAGAACAAAGGCATCAATGGTAATTGTACAATACGAAAAGTAATAAATGAGTTTGCAAAGGTAAATGTCATAGTAAAGTATTCATCTAGATGTAAATTAATTAAAACAATCATAATTAGTAAATAATCAACTTATTGATGAAATTTTATGCCTTTATTAGTTTAATTACACGTCCTTGATGAATTTTTACAACTGATTATGCTGCAGTGCACCATTATAAATTTATAATAACGAAAAGTCACGTACGACGTTCCCCGCACAACTAAATCACAAAATGGTGAATTATGTTCAACAACCCATATAAGCGGCGACAAGGTCACGCGTCTATGCGACTTCTATTGTCTTATTATTATGATTATTACGATTTCTGTGGTTCAAACGGATTTAGGCCAAAGAAATTACCACACACACGGTCAGTTCAACAGATCATTCCAACTGATCAGTTCAACTAGGGTTGTTGATATTTATTAGAATGTTGGATTTTCGATATATCGATAATTATAAATATATCAATATCTGAGTTTTATATATCGTGAGTTTATGTACAAAAGTAAGGCAATATCTGAGTTTTATACATATATTGAAAGAAATATCGATATATCGGCTTTATTTAAAAAATAACAATCGAAAGTCATTTAGTTTAGTTCATTTATTATATTTTTAAGCAAATTAAATTATAAATGTATGAAAACGTTAGATTATAGTTCTTATTAATTATTTTTAATTAAAATAAGACAATTATGTTTATCAACATTTTTCAGTAAGATTTTTCAAAAATACTCGTTGTTTTATATTGTCAGCTGTTTTATATGTTAAAAAGCACATCTAACGCGATGTGTGTGGCCTAGGTAATAGTGAAACAATATTATAAATAAAACCTACCGTTAGTTTTAGTAAAAGTTTTTAGTTTTTTTGTAGTTTTCTTCAGCAAGACACCGTGTATTGGCAGCCTAAGAGAATTACACACAGCCCCATATTATCCTGTAAGTTTTGTTGACAAATTAAACAAATGATGTGCAGCAGCATCTATCTGATAACAACTCAAAATAATAAAAAACTGCGGTTACAAACCCACCTGACGAGCATGACAAATATATAGGCTTTTAGATTGCATATGAGGCAATCTATGGGAGATTTCTATGTTTAGCAACAGAATTTTGAGAGGCTGTAACGATAACAATGATGGTGACTGTGGATATAAATTTAGTATACAAATTTTAATTTTTGTAATCAATAGGTGTTTCATATACTAGTATTATTTAGGTTCATTACAAATAATACTAGTAACATAACAAATATTAGCTGACAGTCCAGTAAAATTCCCCGTGTTGAATTTAGATTTTTTTTCTATAATTTACTTAATATTAACTTAAACAAGCACAAATTTACATTTACACATAGAACAGTGTAAATTTGGAATATTTGTTAGAATCTTATTCTCAGCTATTAAATTAGTCTCAGTACAATTTATAGTTGATTATCTCTGATCTGTGTATTTCATGATTTTATGAAGTGATAATAAAGTTTTCCATAAAAAACCTAGATTTTAATATCTTCCTACAAATACAATATCGCACTCCTCTCCATTTTTACACAGCCACCTGCATGCGTCTGAACTGATCGAAAACAACGGCCGAAACGAATAATAGTCTTGTGTAGTTCGCGAACAATAAACGATTAGGAAACGTATCTTGGCCACAGAACACTAATATTGGCACTGTACTAAAAGCAACGTTTCCGAATGCTGATTGTTAATCGGTCTTTCAGCTCTTTTCGTACATCTACACTCGCAAGATGCTAATACCAAACGTAAACGTAACTCGAGAATCGGTCAGTAGCCAATCTAGGAAAAGAGCACAAACTAATAACAAGTACTAGCGTAGACAACAGCCAACGAATGCCTCTCTTATTCAGTCAGTGACCGACTGAGATAACCATTCTACACAGTAGATACAATTTAAACAGATTAATGGCACTGATGACCGAATAGAGCTAATAGAACAAACTAGTTCACTGTCTGAAATGACTAGTACGGAGCGATCTTCAAAGTGACTGAACAGGCACAAGACTAATGAACAATGCTAGTCTGACCAGGCAGTGCGATATGTTGACACGCTAAAACCATTTGATGTACCGCCACCCGCGCGATAACATACACAAATGCACTGGCAGCCCGAATGTTCGCGACCATAGCCGATAATAGCCGGTCACGTCTGAGTGCATGGTGTCGCTTTGTGGCGATAGACGCAGATGCGGCTCCAGCATTATGAGTATTCTTTTCCCACGTGGATGACTTCACTGAATGATTAGTCTTGTCTTTTTGATACTAAGT